TATTTGAAAATCTATAGTTCAGAGCACATTTTATGACCAATTCATGCAAAACTCCACATAATCCCAAGGGGTTCACATACTTTTTCTTGCAACTGTAATTCATTTCAATATCTAATTGAATCTCCTTACCTGTAGTTTAAGCTCATTAATTGTAGTCCATCCCTCACGTTAATGGAGAACAAAACTAGTTCTGTAGAACAACCCTTTAGCTATATGAAGACTGCTGTTCTGTCCTTTGTTAGCTTCTGCTTTGCAAGCTAAACATACTCTCATGGGACTTCATTATGTTGTAGCCTTTGCTGTAATTTCACTCTCGTTCATTAATATTTTTAATATGTCAGTGTGACTTACCAGAATCTTTGGATCCTTGTCACATCTACTACTTCTGAGTCAGGACTCACCCATCCTGCACTTGTGTCTTTCTATTCACTTTTTAAATGTTAGCTGCAGCAAATTTGGTATTCCTGGATTAAAGGAAAGATTTATAGGAATATCCAATACCTTAATCTAGGTCTTTAGTAAAAATATTGAAACAGCAGAGCCCAGGATTATATACTGTGTTGTTTTAATAATTTCTCTTTTTCATTTTTAATTAAGTTGAATGGAACAGGTTTGGGGATTGCACAACAATCCAGCTATCCAGGGGAAGGGTATTTTCAGGTATTTGTAAAATCAATAGGTATACTAATTAACTGCATGGAAAATCTGCTTCATTTATCATATCTGCCAGCTAAGCAGAGCACATTATAATACCGTAGTCACAACTGGAAGTATTATAATAATTCAGTATTACTTGTTATTTTGGAGTGAGAGTATTCATCAGTGTACTGAGGGAATACCCCTGGGCACCTTGATAAGTACTCTCAACCCCAAACTATTTTTAACAGATTTTGAATGATAAAACTTTTACACCAAAAACAAATATCTTGTAGAATGAAGCTCATAGGGAACTTTGCAAAATAATTTTAAAAATTGATATATTACTGGCTAGCCATTTTGGTTGATACAACTACTGATAATTCAATAGTAGATGTTACTCACTTTATGCTTTTTAATTGAATTGTCCAGGAATATAAATACAACGAAAAGGGTATTACTGAAATGAATTCCTTCCAATTATGAAATTAATTTTAAAATAATTTGGTTGAATCCCGATGTAATGAGCTGACACTACATTAAGACACTGTTAATTAAATTACACATGGCTTATATTCCCTACCCTAGTATACTTGGAACAAAGTCCATCTAATTTAGTCTGTATCGAGCACAGTTCTTTTATCAAATAATCTTGCCCTATGCTGTTAGGAAGAGGGGAATTCAGAATATTTGATTACTTGCTTTGAACCTGAATCACGTATTTTATAGAAATCTAAGAATACCATATTTTTTGAGAAATAATGACTTTCTTCTCCCAAATACTTTCCTGTGCGTTAGAGAGAAGTAACAAAAGATGTGTTAATGAGTGAAAATATAAGCCATTGATGATGCAAATTGTGACAAGTATCTTTGAAATATAAATGAATTAATAATCCTTGGGAGAGGCCTGCTATCCTAAATAAGTTAAGATTTTCCTAAAGATACCATTGAATTAACTCTTCTCCCACCTTTAACCAATATTATTCCTCATTTTCCTCACTGTCCCTACCTACCAAGGTTACCTCTTTCCATTAACCTACCTCTAGTGATCTTTTTCTTCATAGTTACTGTTTCTGATGAAAAGAGGATAGGATAATGTTTTTGTATGTAGTATGTTTCTCTGTATAGAGAGGGTGAATGTATGTGTGAAACCATAGATGCTATCAGGCTTAGATTATACATCATTTTAAACAGTAGCTTCAGTAAATTTTCTTCTTTGTGCTGGCCCCACCCAGTTATGGTTGGTGACTGCCAACAGAAGGCTGTGTGTGTGTGTGTGTGTTTGTGTGTGTGTGTGTGTGTGTGTGTGTGTGTGTGTGTGTGTGTAGACACAGACAAATATGTCATGTTTACATATTTATTGGATGGGGAACTCCAGGTTTTGATTTCAGCTGCAGTGAACATAAATATTTGTTTCTGTGTGTATGCACATGCACATGTGCACATGCATGCATGCACGCACAAACACAAAATGCAAATAAAAGTCACTCTTTTTTGGAACACAGATTTTAGCAGCATGACTCAGATATATTAATAATATTTTATATATGAAGAACTAGCTCCCAAATAAAGCTTTAATATTTATAAGAGCATTTTAGGAATCAAATCCTGTTACAGGTTTTTCTATGCAGAAAAGAGGTATCTTAGTTACTTACTTGAGAGACCGCCTACTGCCAATTACCTCCACTCGACCAATTAGATCCCATAGATTAGGCCTCCTCCGAGTTCCATCAGCCGGTCAATGTCGACTGGCAACCATGCGGAGGAGAGCCTTCTCGGTGGCAGCTCCGACCCTATGGAATGAACTCCCCGTGGAGATTCGTACCCTCACCACCCTCCAGACCTTCCGCATAGCCCTTAAAACCTGGCTGTCCCGACAGGCCTGGGGCTAAAGACCTTAACCCCACCCGAATTGTATGAATGTTGTGCTTTTAACAATGTATTGTCTTATGTGTTTAACTTGGTTTGTCCTCCCTCCCTTTGAACTGTGAGCCGCCCTGAGTCCCCCCAGGGAAAAGGGCGGCATACAAATAAAATACCTATACCTATACCTATACTTGAAACCTGAAGATTTACATCTTAGCTTATTTAGAATCAAAACAACATTCCAAAAATTCCCTCAGAATATTACTATCTAAAAATCTAGCCTTTTAAATTAATCATATTTACTACTTTAAAATGAGATAATAGGTTGCATACTATGCCAGCATTTTGCATGAGCTTCCATTTTCTAATAATTTCTAGTACTTTCTCTTGTTAATTGGAGGCTTATAAGGTTCTTGCTTTTTTATGATTTAAAATGTTTATTTCAATTATTGTAGTAGGATATATTGCAATCTAAGCTGCTGCTATATCTAAATAAACATGCATTCACTTCCTTTTTCTGATATACTTCTTCAAGGCTAATCACTCATCTATTTTCAAAACATTTTTCATGGCTGACATCAGTTCTTTGGCCTGTACAAAATGAAACATTTACTGCTTTGTCTTTAAGAATCTGATTTTTCCTCCCCACTCCTTGAGATAGTTGGTAGCTATAACGTGAATATTTTTTTTGTCTCTTTGTAATCAGTTTCCAGAGGAGACAGAATTGGATCTTTTGTCAGTAACTATTGATGGTCTATCCCATAACTCATACACTAGTGAAGGATCAGGCTCAGTATTCAATTCACCCCAAACTCCAGCTGTCTTCTCACCAAGCATTCCTTTCCAGCCTGAAGAAGGAAGACGAGATGACAGCTTGTCTTCATCAAGTGAAGATTCAGAAAAAGAGGAAGATCATGAGAGAGAGAGACCATATGTTTATCGGAAAGCACTGTGAGCATATTTGTAAAAACTGAATATTCATTTCATATAACCACTCTGAATATGTGTATATTGATGAATATAAAAAACCATCCAGCTTTATACAATATTTGGTCTGAACTCTTTATGTTATGCTGATGTTATTAACTATTTAATTTTTAAAATATTTAATCTGTTCTGATAATTTAGCTAGCAGAGCTTACAAAAAACACTAAATGCAACTGCCTGTGGCAGAAAATAACCATGACTCTTGGAAATGACTATCTTGTAACTCAATATTTGACACATCTTTGGGTGTTTAGGATGTCAAGTTCAAACCGCGACTGTGTGAAGCAGCCTGAGAAATTCCTTTCTATTTAAATATAATGGCAGATAGCTAGTGCATTACAGATCTGATTTGAATGCAATTAATAAATTATTCATAATTTTCATATAAAAATTTGTTCTATATCTCATTAAACAACAATATAACATCAACATTTTAGGAACTCAGCATTTTCATTTGCCCTTCCTGTTCTGTTTTTTAGCTGTAAAAATGTAGCATTTGTTGGGAATTTGATAGTTACTTTGAATAGGATGAGTGTCCGGAACATTTCTTAAAACATTATATCCTGCTGTAGTAACATTTAATCAGAGCTGCTTTTTTGGTTGCATAAATATTTTTTTAGCATACGTTTAAACTAAATAGTATAAGAACACTGAATAAATTACATCTTTTAAATTATTTTAAAGTAGCTATTTTGACTATTTTTGGTTTCCTCCCATGATCAATGAAGAGGGAAAAAACCCCACTGAAGATTACTTATATATTTGTGGATTTTGTTCTCAAAGACTAAACGTAGTTTAGTGAGAAAATGAGATGGATATCTATCTCCTCTTTCCTCATTTAACGGACCTGCCCAATCACAGAACCTTCATACCAATTTCAAAAAAAAAAATTAGTTATCTCAGACAGTTTAACTATTTTTTAAAGAATTTTTTTACATTTTTGAATAAACACAAACAGACAAAACACACACACACACACACACAAACCACAAAACCATCTTCTGTTACAAATTGTAGAAAGTGTGTC